TGCCACCATTTTCTGATTTTGAAAGGGGTGTGGATAGTGCTACTGTGACTGTAGCAGGAGACAATTAGAACAAACACTGAAGTCAGTGGACGTGCTGCCCCCGGACTTGAAGGCCCTCGGTGGCTCTTCTGGCCCTTCCTCTGCCCTGTCCTGTCTGCCTTGCAGGCGGCCCTCACAACAACGTGGGTGCCCCATGAGTGTCTCTGCACCCCCAGAAACCACCTCATGCGCCCCCCTCCCCCAGGTACCTTCTGGATTCAGCTTTTCTTTTTCTGCAGTGCTGGGGATCCAACGCCAGAGCCCCGGGTCTCATGGGCGCTAGGCAAGCAGCCGACCACTGGGCGTGTGCACCCCCAGTTTCGTTCCCTTTTGAGACAGGGTCTTGCTGGGTCACCAGGCTCAGGGCATCTTCCTGGTGTCAAGTGACCCCTCCTGCTTCGACCTTCCCAGGGGCATGAGACCCGCCCTTCCTACACTTTGGGAAAATGCTTTGGCTCCTTTTGTAGGTCTGGAAGCTAAGGATCTCAGGAGTCCAGCAACGTGCTTAAGGTCCTTAAGGTTGGTGACAGAGTCAGGGACAGGCTGTCCTTCCCTAACCTGATCCCCCCACGCCCCCACCCATAAAGCCCACCTCAGGCTGAGCTTCTGGGGAGGCAGGACTCAAAAGGAGGATCCTCACAAGCCTGCCCAGCTCTGTCCCTCCTGTCCCACCGGGGCTGCCATGCCTGGCCCGTGCCTTCCTGCCTGTGGTCCCTCTTTGGGGATACAAGGCCAAAGCCAACAACCGATGCTTCTTGGCAACAGAAAGGGTCCCCATCCTGTGTCCTGCCGGGGTAGAGGGGCCGAGCCCCCAGCTCTGAGCAAAGCTTGGAGGTGGTGGTACTAGGGGCAGCCGAAAGGGCTTTAGGGGGGTGGCTGCCAGCTCCCTTTGAGAGTCCTTTCCCCCGGGCTCCCCCTGTGCCTCTTCTCCTGCTGCTGCTGAGGGAGTGCCCATCCTGCTGGCCTCCCCGTTCCTGCAGACTAACTGTTAACGAGTTGGGGCGAGGGGTTCCCAGGTTAGGGCTGCTCAAGGTCATGCCTCGCCCCCCCACCCCGTGGGGATTCAGGTGGGCCCTCCCCTGCGTGCCCTGGCACGTCGGCCACGCCCCTCGGCCTGCAGCAGCTGCACCTGGCTCAGCATCCAGACCCTCCTCCGCCCTGGCTCCGAGCAACACGTCAGCGACCACCCAAATATATATCCCTAGCTGGAAGGACCACGGCAACCCGGATCCAAAATGCACCCAACTGAAGCCACCCTCCCCGTTGTCACTCAAAATCAGCCTCTCCTCCTGGCCTCCACTGGTGGAGGACTTTGGAAACCTCCATACATCTTTCTCCTTTCACATTTCCCTCGCGCTCGCTCCCACGTCCCCTGGATCCTTCCAAAGGGTCTCCTTCAATCTTCCTCTCCACGACTCTGGCCCCCGTCTTTGTTGTCTGGGCCATGTGTGGTCCCTTGCTGGGATAGTCTCTGTAGCCACAGAGCCCAAAGCCCGCTGTGTCCTGGGTATTGATAGAAATTTTTTAAAATCCATGGATCCTAACCCAACATATTTGTTGGTACTTTCCCATAGAATTTGTGAAAAAGCTCAGGAGTCAGACAGATATGGGTTCAAATCCTGACTGCTGCCCTCTGTCACTTGGGGTGAATTAGGGACCCAGATCACTCTGAACACAGGGCCCAGGCTGGGAGGTGGTGACCAAGGTGGGCTGCAGAGCCTGCCTGCCCGGATCCCTGCCCCATCTGTGCTCCCAGCCAGCTCTGGAGCCCTGAGCAAGTTCCTCACCTCTCTGAACCTCAGTATCCTCCTCTGTAAGGCAGGGATGATAACAGTTATCAATCTCAGAGGGTAAATTAGAGCATGTGCACAAAGCCCACCAAAGCACGCAGCCGACTCTGAACAAAGGTACCTCCCAACCAGTAGGACTCCATAAATATTGTTTCATAGGATGGAAAAATGACTTCATCTGAGAATTTCTAAAATTGTGTGTAGTGTATTTTCCCCAATTTGTAACTACTTCACATCTTTTTGCTGACCTGTCAATGTTTAAGATGTCTAGAGTTAAAAAAAAAAAAGAAAGAAAGAAAGAAAGAAAGAAAAGGACAAAAAAAGCTTATTTTAGGAATCACTCCTTGGAACATTATTTCATTACTTAAACTCATTGCTGACTCATCGGTCCCTTGGTAACTGAGTCTTTCTTTACCAATAACTTTAATTACATCAATCACTCATTCCCAAAACAGCTGAATAATGAAAACTCCTGGAGGTGACACTCTGGACTTCTGTCACACAAGAAGGGACCTGTGGCAGAAGGACCGGTTTTTCTTTTCTTTTTCTTTTTAATAGCATTCAGAACCTCAAACATAAAGAATATCTTTATATTATATTATTTTTATCATCTGTTCATCTAGCAGTGTATCTATAACCAGCAATTCTCTGTGCAGGAGGAAATGACAATTTATAACTTCTTGAATTTCTTTTTTCTTTTTTTTTTTTTTGACATTTCTAATTCATAAGGCCCAAATTTCTGCCTCTGGGGGTCAAAAGAAATGATACTTGAGAATTGCAACACCAATTCCTTTGCTAAGAGCTGCTAATTGCACAGTGCAGGGGATAACCTGTTTCTGAAATGATTATTTTGTCCTCGGTATTAAAAGCTGCCTTATTAAGCTTTAATGGCGCGTTGTTTGGGGGTTTTGTTTTGTTTTTGTTTTTTGTTTTTGTTTTTGTTTTGTTTGTACCAGGAATTGAACCCAGGGGCTCTTAACCACTGAGCCACATCCCCAGACCTATTTATATTTTACTTAGAGACAGGGTCCCTCTGCGTTGCTAGGTGCCTCGCTAAGTTGCTGAGGCTGGCTTTGAACTCACAATCCTCCAGCCTCAGCCTCCCCGGTCTCTGGGATGACAGGTGTGCGCCACCGTGCCCGACCGTGCCGGTTATTGCGATAAAGTTTTTACCCCCATCTTTTCGGGAGAGCCGCGTCGACCTGTGTGGAACAGGCTCTGTGTTTGCAACCTTTATTCAGATGAGGAAACTAAGGCACTGAAAGATTCGCTGGGCTAAGTGGCTGCCACAGTGAGGTAAGAGCCCAGAATGTCTGACTGTCCTCTTCTGTGCTTAGACAGAACCAAGCCGGAGAGGCTGCTGCTCTGGCTGCTTCAGGCCTGGGCTGGTTTTCTAGCTATTTATGGCGTGGAGTGAGGTGGCTGCGGGTTGCCAGCCTGACCTGTCATCTGACCCTGCGGGGGAGAAGCAGTCCCCGATTTGGTGAGAGGCCTAGGGGAAGCCAGGGCGGGCATCACACAGAACCTCCCTCAGAGTGACAGGGCTCCTCCTGCCCTCCAGGCTCTGCTCTGCCAGCCCTGGACTGGGACATTGGCCTCCTCCTAGGTTCTGCCTCCCAGCCGACCCCCATCGTCCCGCCTGCACACTTTTACCTTGTTGGCTGAGAGACAGTGGAGCGCCGCCGGACGGTGGCAGAGCATGAGAATGACAAAGCGAAAGTGGCACTTCAAAACCTGAAGCCTGGAATCCCAGCGCCTCGGGAGGCTGAGGCAGGAGGATGGTGAGTTCAAAGCCAGCCTCAGCAACGGTGAGACCCTGTCTCTAAATAAAACACAAAATAGGGCTGGGGTGGGGCTCGGTGGTCGAGGTCCCTTGAGTTCAATCCCTGGTACTGCCCCCCCCCCAAAAAAAACCCACCTGGGGTTCATGGGAATCTACCTGGGGACTCCTGAGGATCCACCTGTGGGGTGACTTCGAGGGCCCAGGTGACTCTGGGCAGGAGAGGGAGGAGCTCACGCCCTGCTCCTGGGGGCAGCAGCAGCCACCTGGCACCTCTGGGCAGGTGTGGTGACTTCCTGCCCCCTCACACAACCAGGGAGGTTCCCTTAACTGCCTCTGTCCCTGTCCCGAGTCCCAGCCCTTTCCTATTGAACCACAAGTGTGGGGACCTTGAACGTCTCCAGGCCACCTTCCCCGGCGTGGCCGGAGTCAGGCTGGGTCCCATGACGCCCTCCCGCGTGGCCACCCACCTCAGCGGGTGGCAGCACCACCCAGCAGTGGGAGGGCCCGCCAGCCCTCCCCCTTTTCTCCACAGAGTCACACCCACTTCCAAATCTGCTGGTTCAACCTTTTTTCTTTGAACCTCCTCTCCATCCCTAGGGACATCTTGGCCACTGTCGCCTCTCCACTGTCACCTCTCACCTCCTGGGTGGCCTCTCAGCTCTAGTCTGTTCCCAGCAGTTGATTTTCCCCTCTGAGGGTAGACTGCATACGTGACGGTGCAGATTCCTTACCTAAACCATTTCATGCCTCCTATTGTTCTCATACCGGGCCCCGAGAATCCTAAGTACCACGCTCCTTCAAACTGGATGCTCTAAAGCTGTAAAATTATTTGCCGTGTCTGCTCACATTTCACCGCTGGGCCTTGGCACATGCTGTTCCCTCTGCCTCTTATGTCCTCTCACCCCCTTGGCTTCCCACCTTCCTACAGACCACAGAAAGGTCTATGCTTAAAGTCCCTGCCTCAGTGCCCTGCCCCTCTCCGTGCCGAAGGTAGAAACCAAGGGACGAGCAGGAGTTCAACTCCACTTCTACCCTTCGCTCTGTGTGTGGACTTGGATATTTAGTTCAGCTCTGAGATTCAGTTTCTCCATCTGTAAAATGGACACAGGTATAGGGAAGAGTCCATTCTAGGGGGACACGTGAAGGGTCACGTGTGATTCACTGTCTCATAGGATCATTGTGAGGGTTGAGAAGGTTACTGCAGGCCAACTCTACGGGAGGAATCAGCAGAGGCCTATGGCCCAGTCTTAGCCTCAAGGAATTTTTTTTTTGGGGGGGTACTAGGGGATTGAACCCAGGGGCACTTAACCACTGGGTCACATCCCCAGCCCTTTTTATTTTATTTTTTTATTTTGATACAGGGTCTTGCTAAGTTGCTGAGGCTGGCCTTGAATTTGTGATCCTCCTGCCTCAGCCTCCCAAGCCGCTGGGATTACAGGCTTACACCAGCGTGCCCAGCTCTCTGTGCTTTTGAGGAAGTTAATTCAATTCTGGGTCCAGTGCTGGGCATGTGATTTAGGCACGGCCAACATTTCATCCCCTTGAATATAGAGATGGGTTCAGGAACGGATACAAGACCTGACTGGACCCAGTGACTTGAGACCTAGGATTTTTATTAAGATTGAAGGGAAGGGGAAGCGTCCTTTTCCCATGGGACTTGAACCATACAGGGAAACAACACAGTGAATCCCGCCCCATGGACATCCATAAGAGCGGGAGCCTAATCAGAATAGGAGGTATCCCATGCTTGGATACTTACATCAAAGTGGATTCTGCTGTCATGTGTGACGATAGAAAACCAGAAAATAATTTTAAAAAGGAAGAAACCTGGGAGGAAGTTCAGCAGAGCTGGAAGATGACAAGAGACCAGACCTTAGACACTGGGAGCCCTGGCGTTACACTTTGCCTGAAGACAGTTGGAACCACTGGACTTGGGTTTTGTGAGTCAACTTCCCTTTTGTGGAAAGAGTTTGAGTGTCACCTTCTGTTATTTGCAACCAAAAAGTCCCAACAGGGACAGATCCCTTCCAGCCCCCAGAGACCCTCAGAGAAATAGATGTTAAAGCCGTTCACAAACATTCCAGCTTCTCTTCCCTGGGCAGGTGGTGAGATGGCGCTTCGTCACTCATTCTGAGTGAGGCCTGGCATGTGGCATTCATTGTCAACAAAACGTAAGTAGAAGTGATGGCCGTCACTTCTCGGTGGGCTGTTGAAGATTCAGTGTACAATTCACCTTCTCTCTTTCCTTCCCATAATGATGTTGCAGATGGTGGAGGCTCCATCAGCCTGGGTCCCAGCTTGAGGACAACGTGAAGCACAGACCAAGCACAGATGTTTGGCAGATATGTACCGTGAGCCAGAAATAAACCTTTGTTGCTTTAAGCCGTTAAGATACTGGGTCATTTGTTATAGCATCAAACCTTTACCTATACTTACTGATCTGCTCAGAATTCTTATTTCTGTCTGCTGCTCTCTCTCTCTCCTCCACCTTCTTCTCTTTTCCTTCTTCTTTTCGTTCTTCCTCATCCTTTCCCTCTTTACCTTCCCTTTTCTTTTTTTTTCTCCCTTCCTTCTTCCTCCCGTCTCTCCTTGTTGACTTTCTCTGTCTTATAATTCCATTTCCTAACTTACCTCTGTCAACAGATCATTAAAAATCTTCCATGATTGCTCATCTCCTGCTTTCTCAGCAATATCCAAGTGGACATTGGCAGGAGATAACCAGCCTGCCCCAACAAAGCCGTGCCCCTGGCATCCACACCAGTGCCAATCAATTATAGCTGTCAGTCATTCATCCCCCCCAGCACGAGCCTCAGCAGGCCAACTTCCTAATCATCTTATTGGATTCACAGGGCTCTGAGTTCTGGAATAAAACCTTTCCAGAAATTCTCCTTCATTATCTTAGGAAAACGAACCGTATTCTGAAGTTTGTGGCAAAGTATTTATAACATGATGCTCTGCCAAGGTAAAACACTGACAAGTAATAATATTATGTACATCAGTTTTAGTCCTTAATAAGCAATTTCTACGGTTAATGTAGCCAATGCACAAGATTCTGCTGGGGAGGGGATTTGAAAATGACTAAGCTTTTTCAAAGGTAGAAAAGTAGAGTAAATCACTCTTGAAGCTTGAACGGGGACATCATTATCAGTCTATGCCACACTTGGAAGCTCAGGGGTCTCAGATTCACCTGCCAGTGAGGGCCAGGCAGGCCAGGTCCATGGGCAAAGCTGGCCAAACGGAAGTGGTGGGAGCTCCAGGGGACTTCATAGTGATCCTTCTACATTCACCTCGAGCTGATTGTCCCCAGGATGGAAGGCACACTGGAGGTGGCCAGTTCTCCCACTTTATTTATTTATGTATTCATCTTTTGCAGTACTGGGAAGTGAACTCGGGGGCACTCGGCCACTGAGCCACATCCCCAGCCCTATTTTGTATTTTATTTAATAAAATAAAAAGCAGCTCGCTGAGTTGCTTTGGCTTTGAACTCGCGAACTCGCCATCTTCCTGCTCAGCCTCCGGAGATGCTTTTTTTTTCCTCTAAGGGAAACTTGAAATTCATATCAATGGCCAACTGTCTCCTATATTTTCCTATTAAACACTATAAGGTTCGCCCTTAGTTGGCAGTCGTGGGGTGTGTGAGAGCACGTCACACACACTGCTTCCCGTCATCTGTTCTCATCCTCCATTATCTTTGTTTCCAGAGTAGGAGACCAAGGCTCAGGAAGGTCAAGTGCAACACTTACAGGGGCACAGCCAGAGTCTGAACCCGGGGTCTGCACCTTCAGACTCAGTCCTCTTGTGATCCCCAGTTTCCTTTCAGTGCCGCGCGTGAGGCGCAGGCTGCCTGTACACCAAGGACTCCTGCTCCCCTTTCCGTGGGGAAGTTGGTAAGGGGATGCAGCCACAAGCCAGAGATGACCATGGGCTCCTCCCGGATGAAGTCCTCTGTTTAATTGGCAAGAGCCGATGCAACATGATGGGAATGACTTTCGTTAGTTCCAGCCAATGGCAGGTACAAGATGGGTGTTCCTTCTCCTCCTCCAACTTGCTGGAGAGGAAGGAACCCAGGCCCTGGGAAGCGTGTCCTGCAGATGAAATGAACCCCGAATTGCAAGATGGAATCAATCTGCTTTCCCAAATCGTCATTTGGAGAAAAATCACCTCCAGTCTGGGGGATCAATCTTTTTTGGACTTGACATCAGAGAGAATTTCTGTTATATCTGAGTCCCGAACGGTTTTGGGCATTGTTTGTTATAGCAGCTAGCAGGACCTAAACGGACACACGTAGGAACGAATTGAACAAAAACAACAAAAGTCTGTTCCTTTTCCCTTTGCAATATTGGCAGGAAGAGTTTATAATAAAGGATTGTCTGTGTGAATGGATCGGCCTAGCATGAGGAAATGATTCTAATGAGGTTTGGGTTTTGGTGATGGGGGTGTAGTGGCCCTGAGTGTACGGTGTCTCTGGCCCTCTCCCCACGCCTGGCTTTAAAGAGCTTTTCAGCTGGAGGGGAGCATACCATCCCCGAGCTCCCGGAGGAGGAAGACAACAGTCAAAACAAGCACTTGGCCTGTCTAGGCCTCACACCCTCCACCGCGATGGGCGTCAACATGTTGGAAACATCAAAGGCAGCGAGCTATCTTAAGCACAAGGAGATTAACATTTACAAAGGTTTGCCCCTGGCCTACTCCCAGGAATCCAGCAGACAGAGCCAGAAGGGACGATGGACACCCCCATCCTCACTGGGGTCTTCAGGCATCTTGTATTAGAAGATGTTTTTTTTTTCTTTTGAGTTTTCTGCTCAGTTTGGGATGCAGGAGGCAAAGCCTGTTCTCAGATTTGAGCAAAGCGCAGGAAAGATGTTGAACCTACTGGGCACGAGGGTATGCTATAAAGTCCTGGGGGGACATGGGCCCTCCTAAGGACTGAGAGAGAGAGAGAGAGAGAGAGAGAGAGAGAGAGAGAGAGAGAGAGAGAGAGACTTTACCCATTATCTTCCTAGAGCTGGAGAGGGTCCTTCCAAGCCAACCAACCAGTCAGCCCAAAGGAAGGGCCGAGACAGGGGGGAGACGGGGAGGGCTGAGCACTGGCTTCTGTCTTTGAAGCCAGAGGCCAAGAATACCTTACCACACTCCAAGGACCAGCAACAGTAGGGGATGGATGGGGATCAAAATCCCTTACAGCTGTTGGAAACCATACCCTATTCAGAGATAATTGGCAATTAGTTAAACAACTCCTGTTTAGAGCCCGCTCCGCCCCACCCTCCAGGACAGCTGTGTTTGAAAAGGGGCGGGGGCCACCGGCTCAGGAAGTTCGGAAACCTGATCTTCAAGTCAATAAAACCTAACAGAGCTGCAGGAGCCAAGGAGGTAGAGAACTTAAAAATATGTCCAGGGACAGAGTAGTACTTGGGCACAGAGAGGCCTAGGTCTGAGCACCTGCCTGGCCACTCACCAGCTGTCCTGGGAGGCCCAGCAAGCGGCTTTGCCTCTCTAAGCCTCCGTTTTCTTATCTGTCAAATGGGGATGATGGTAATCCTACGGTGGAGGTTTAATGCCGTGGCAGCCCCAGGGCCTGGCACAGAGGGAACGTCAACTCTTAGGCATTCGTGTTCCTTCAGGCCGAGATCCCTTAGCCTGGCCCTCAAGGCCCTCCACAATTTATCTGCAGATGACTCCCCCCCACATCCCCCACGTCCCATCCCCTATGACCTTGCAGCCAAAAAGCACCACTCGGTGCGACTCGGTTTCCTAATCTGTGAACTGAGGTAGCCACAAGGGTTTTCTCTAAGGTCCCGGTCCACCCGCCAGGCGAGGCTCCCTCCAGTGCCTTTGGTCACACCCTTCCCTGGGCCCAGCAGGCCTTTCTTCTCCTCCCAACCTGCAATTCTTACCAGGCCTTCAAGGTCAAGTTCAAATGCTACCCTGAAGCCCTTCCTGGGAAGCGATTTATTTCTTATAAACCAGCTCAGTCCAGGGTTGATGTCCCCTTTGTTCGACCTGCATTGTATTTTTAAAAACTCCAAAACTACCACATTTTTTTTTCCTTTTTCTTTTTGATTTTCAGTTTTCTTACCAAGTCAGAAGGCGGGCAATCCTGGCCCCACGTCCTGGACAGCTCTTTGGGGATGGCTAACTGCTGCCCCCTGCAGGCGGGGCAGGCCTTCTGATGCTTCCCTGGATGGACTGTGCCTCTCCTCCTGAGCTCAAGCAACTGGGGCCCTCCTCTGCCTCCCGACTCCCCTTCTTCCTTCTCCTCCTCTCCCTCCCCTTCCTCCTCCTGATCCTCCGTCTTGTCCTCTACTCCTTTTTGGGTAGGTACTATTTCTTATTTTCTACCTTAAGTTGGGGTTATCTATGTTTCATGACACCTCAAACTCTGCTACCTGGAGGCCCTGGGAAACTGAACTCTTATTCATCTGTGAGGCCCAAAGGACTTGGCCCAGGATCTGGTTGCAAAGAGGAATGAGCAGGGCCTCTGCGTGCTGGTGAATGGCACCCCTGGAGTTGTGCAATCCAGTCGTGTAAGTGAGCAAAAGAGTGAATGACAAATGTGCACCTATGGAGCACCTACTGTATGCCAGGCACTGACCCCAGGTACACTGCAGATACTAACTTATTTATAAAATGAATGAACATAGGAGTGAATATTGAGTGAAAGGGTCCTTCTGCTTGTCTCTCAGGTCAGGACTGGTGCCCTCTCCTCTCTGGGAGACAGGAGCATGCTTCCCCAGGGCTGAGTCCCAGCTGGTTTGAAGGCTCTTTCTCAATGTTAGGTCTTGGCTTCAACAAAATTCCCTTATCAGAGGACAAGGGGCAGGAAAGATGGGGATTGCTCAACCCCATGAGGTTGTCAAGTTTCCAAAGAGCTGCCCCATCCCCCACTGTCCTGCCAGATAGGCTGTCCATTTGGCTTCTCTCCAGTGTCACTTACAGAATCTTCATGCCCCTGTCAGAATACCATTCCCTGGAGGTGAGAGGAGGATGCACCTGTGTTAGTATAAACAGTTGTGCCAATCTGTCGTGTATACATTTAGAGCTCTGAGGTATTTTTCCCTTGATCATCTACTTTGATTTCGAAGAAGTACCCATTTCTCCCATCTCCCCCATCTTCATCAGGAAGTATGTAAGTGGCACCTTAGTGTATACCCATTTTGCAGATGAGGAAACCAAGGTCAAATGGAGAAAAGGATGGGCTGGGTCGTGCTGAGAGGTAGGGATTATAACTTGGACTTCTGGATCAAATGTTTCTTAGCGTTTCATTGACAAAATCCATGCAGTTGGGGGAAAACATACCAATCTGTTGGCCACCACTGCGGTGTCAACAGAGAGGAGGACACGGTGGCAATGCAGATGAGGGCGATGGTGGGGAGGTGCCGGGA